CTAGTTCTACAGGAACTATAAATAGGGAAAACGATATTTAACAAAAATATTGATACGTTATACAATCTCGAAACGAAATCAGTTCTGCTTGATTTTACATAAAATCCTACTTAGTTTCCCCCGCACGTTTTAGAAACACCTATTAATTATATGGAACATTAACGCTTTCAAGCGTTCAGTTCAGGATTCCGAAACTGACTCTGTCGAGTACTTAATAACCGTGAAAACGCGTTACGAGTGACAAATGTGCACGCGCAAGTAAGTGAGTAGGAGACACGTGGAAAGTGAATTCGCGGATGGTTAAACGCTGCCAATAGCGTTAATCGTCCGGGACCACCTACCAGCTGCGATTTCATAATCGATACTCGCGGCGCACGGGGATACTTACGTGATCGCGATGCGATCCGCATGTGTCATTATCCTCGACGTTCGAGTTTCAATTGCCTCGCGAGCAGACCTTCCGTAAGTACCCGTGCCACAGGAATCCAAATGGGCACGTCGTGCATCGATGCTCGAGCCAGTTTCAAAGAACAGTTCGTTAATTTTTTTAAAAATCGTTTTTCGAATTACTCGGGTTCAAACGAACATCGTAGTATTCCTCGTTCGACCCAACGATGTATGTCTGTCAAATGTCGACCGAGTTTCTAAAGTTGAATCGCGTAATATTTTACGAACGACGATAAAAAGTAAACGGAAGATACACGACGATTGCTCGTCGAGTAGCGATTTCGCATGTTCACCGTTCGGGACAGTGATTGCAGTAGTTAAAAAGAATTAGCTTCTCACGGGACTCGCGATTTCATCGACAGTTGAATGGTTACTTATTCTCACCGTTTTTATCCTTCACACGTTGACCTCCGGCACGTATTCCACTTTTTCTCCCGTGTATCTGCACGGACGCGGCGGGGGTGCCGGAGTAAACTCTGACCTCGTGCGTTAATATCGGTTGCGTAATCCTTTCCGGATTAGTCACAAGTTATTTTCCTCGTAAACGCTGAAAGGTTACGCCGCCGCCGCGGTGAGAACCGAGAGATGGATAATGATGGTGATCGATTGCCGCGGCAAATAATCAGTTGTTGGCATTGCGGCGCGAGAAACGCGTTCCCGGTGAATGTCAACGGGCTGATTCTTGGAATTCCAGTGCGGCTGCGTGCGTATTCTCACCGGATAAAACGCGATCATTAACGTTTTCCCGTTGGACATTGTTCCACGTTAGACTCTGCGCGAGCTCGTTTACATCCAAATCGTTGACAGACCCGGTCGTTGCAACTCCCGTCACGGTTCTCAAGTAAATCAACGTGGATCATTTATCTTAGAAACTTTTTTCAGAGATCGTCAGATTACTCTACGCACTTTGGTAATTGATCACGTTCTTTTTTTTTTTTTTACCTACCGTGCAGTTCGGGGACGCTAGTGAGCAACTGGTGATTTATCGTGCGATTGAGTTAACAGATAACGAGTAGATACTATGGCGTTAGTGTAATCACACGGTAATACGGACTTAATTAAGTTTGATCCGCAGATAGCGAGTAACATTCTTTCGCGTGCTCGGTAATTCAATTCCTTTTTTGAACGAGTGGCTGTTCCAGAATTATTATTATTTCGTTCTGTCCGTAGATCTGACAGCGATTTTCAAACTACAGGTTCTTCAAATTAAACACTTTCTTCTAACAAGAATTTATTAGCTTTCAAAATACTATTTTATATAGTATGCATAATAGTGTAACATTTTTCTGTTGCCAACAATAATTGAAATTATCTGCTGGCCACTGGTCTTCCCATTCTTCCACGAAACTAATGTAGAACGCATTACCGTCTATTTTTTGCCGATTATTCAAGCCCACGCCAGGGGCCGAGGCCAGTTCTGGACAGATTGAATGCGGTTGATCGACGTTGGTCTTCCTCGACGGTAGCTCCGCGTTCTCACCCTCTCCCTACAGGACGTCCGCCTCGACTTATTCCCTAATGCGACCTTGATGAGAGCCAACCTTCCTAAGGGTCTCTTTTCTCCAACTCGCTTTATCGATGCACACGATTATTCTGTTCATGTTCATTGTCCCTGCGGGTCACTCGGTACTTCGTCCAATAGAATATGAACCCTTGAAACGTAATTGCAAAATTGATCAAAATCGCACAGTGGCAACGTTCTGTCTGCGTTCGCTCAAGCAAGAAATAGAAGCTGCTTCAATAATTCTTATTCCGTCGGCCACTTGTCAATTTCTAATAAGACATTCGTGCACTCCTGAATCGTAATTGGAAAATTGATTAAAATCGCGCGGTGGCGAAATTCTGGTTGGTCGCGCGAGCAAGAAATACAAATGGCCATCTAATTTGCATACTCCTTATCAACGAACGTAGTAAACCACGGAAGGGGGGCGCATGGATCGCCGGAGCACTAAAAGCCCATAGCCGATCGGGGCAACGCGGTGACATTAGAGGCACATTAGCGTGCGGCACTCGTCGAGCAGCTGGTAGCCTACCGGGCCAGCTAATTACATGCCGATTCCAGAGGATCAGCCGCACAATGCCGTGTCGACATACCGGCGGCTCGTCGACGTGCACAGGGGGGGTCCCCGATACCGATATTGCCGTGTACCGGCTTTCGCGGAAAGGTTCCGTCGCTTACACGTTGCCGGTTAATCGCTCGATACACTCGCAACACGAGTAGCCGATTCCCCGCCTCGATTCACGCTATCGTAACTGACTCTGCGACGCGAGAGAGTAATTCTGCTTTTTATATGTGTGTTTTTCATGTGTTTCGTGACAGACTCGTAGCTCTTTTGGTTTTCATTCCAATTTGGAAAATGAAATGACATAAGAATTTGACGTATTCGTAATGTGTATTTGTCTGTACTGTGCGCACTTTTTAACTTTGCGTATGTATTAAGTACGCATAGAATGGTAGATAGAACGAATGTGAACCTGTTGAAGAAAATCTCTCGAGCAGACGATTTAACTATATCTGTCCGAGGGGCTACGTGTTCATAATTCTTTGAGATGCGCGTTGGTAGTTTTTCGTGCGGTACAGAACACGCTGCGTCTACGTGGTTCGCAGATGTTACCAGCGGGTGTTCTCCGGGCACGTATTTGAAGAACGAGCGCTCGTTTGAGGTCGGGCCGGCTCCCACTGCGACGAAAATTCAAATGTTAAGATATGTTTTTCACTGGAAAGATCAAAGACCGCGCGCACTTGTTCGTTTCGTTCAAATTAATCGAGCCCTTTTGTCCCTTTAATCACTTTCCCGTCCATCGCCTTCGGAATCGCTCCTCCTCGTCCATCGGAACAGGTTCCTCCAGTAATTAGATCATGTCTCAGCATGTAATTTAAATTGATACACAGATACGATGTATAAAAGTGTATAAAAGTACAAAATATGATTGCTGAAACTTAAAACAGTCTTCTTATGCATAACCAACTTACTTAAAGGGGCAAAAAGACTTCTTTTACTCTCGAAAGTCATAAAGTAAAATATAAAATGATCGGTTAGACTTCATTGTTCCTGGAAAGGGCTTTCGAGCCTGTGTCTCTATCATTTCCACGAGTGGGTACGCTCGACATTCGCGGTAAGGAGGTTCCCGTCCGCTATTAACAGCAGGATGTCTCGGGGAACAACCTGGACAAACCTTTCCGTGCGTCGAGTGCGCGCCCGGTTTCACGACGGCAAACATACCACGTCCATCGTCCTACGATTCTCGCGAATACTGTCGGCCGTTGTCGTCGCCGTTGCAAACCGCTGATGACACTCTACGACACTCGAACGAGCCGCTTAGTTTCCTCGAAGAGGCTCGACCCTTGTCGCCGGCGTCGTCAACGAGGACAAACGGCGACGATGACCGGGACAGCGGGCACAGATTACGACGTACCTCTTCGGCAATTACTGCTCGAGTGGCACCGCGGTGAGACAGGTGGAACAACGTCCTCGCGTTTCTCCTTGACAAATCCGCACGGCGAATCAATAAGAATTGTCATGCGAAATAATGCAATTTTTCAGGGTTTCGTTGGAAACTTAAATTAATCCGATGTAAATGAAATATTCGCGTGGAACGTCTGACGAGAGAAAAGAATAATATTTTATGCGACGAGAACAAGTTTCAGCCGCAAATAGGAAATCTCGTGTAGCACGTAAAATCGTCGTCGGGTTTCCTTTTGGGCCGAACGAGTCGTGTCCCACGATCGTCGAGGATTAAAAAGCTGCTCGACTAATAACGACGACGCGTTATACCGAGCCGAGGCACAAGCAACGTGCCATCATGAATCATTGGTCGCGATGTCCGCGCGTACTTACGTACATACGCTACCTCGACGTCGCGTCGTACATTACCGATCGACAAATTCCCGTTTCGCAGCCCCGACGCCCATAAATCGGTTATGCGCGACTCGCGTACAGATTAACGCCGCTCCGAGGTAGACGAGTGGAGTGGGTGGAACGATCCGCGTTTTATCGTAACACGATCGATAAAACTGGATCGATCGGGCCCGTACCTCGGACCCGGGCGTGACAACGGGGCCCCGAGCGAGGAAACTCGATGCCTGGATTCTGAGGGCTAAGGATAATCGACTTAACGACTTCTTGGTAACGGTGAACGGTCCTCGTTAGAACAGTGGTTCCCGGCTAAATTCTCAAGTTGAGTGTCTGTGTGAGAGGGTATTATTGGTTTAGGGTGTATAAAGTGTCTTTAGAAAATACAATATAATAAAACGCTAATAGGTTCCTATCGAATATCATCGATTTGACACAGTACATGACAAGTAATTCATTGTACGGTATCAATTGTATTGATAATCTAACTTGCAATGCTCTATAAAAAATTCTGACCCTTAAATCAAGCACGATTCATGATTCCAGCTATTTTATCCTCATTGGTCGAACGTTGGTTAGTGAAAATTCTACTGCGCTCCGCGAGCGCAAGGACGTTTCGCGTGGTAGCGTGGGAAATCGTAACGCGTTCTGTCGTTCTTCCCCATCGAAAATTTGTTTTTTTTTTCTCTTTTTGTTCAGGACTGGTGGACAGTCAACCTGGCGAACGGCTCGGAGCGTGACTCCCCTTGGAGCTGTGGGGGTGGCAGCGGTAGCGGCCGCAGGCCCCTCACCTCCATAATCGAGCACCTACGCACGTCCAAAAGCAGGCTTCACAATGGTAAGCCGAAGATAAATCGTGATCTATGTAGCTTTTCTTATAACGTTAGTTTGTATGCATTTTTATGGACTTTCCTGGAACGAGGTTCCAAGAATGTTAGCGATGTTTCGATGTTTGTTTGATAATTTTAATTTCTCGAACACATCTTTTGTCACTGTTCATAAAAATATTTCTTTTCAAGGACTCCTATGCAAGTAGTATTGAATATCTCAATTCTTCAGTTTCTGAGAAATTTTTTAAAACATATAAGAAAATGAATTTGTAAACGTACGTCTTTAAGCTAAGAATTCCTGTTGCCGTCGCATATTCGTTTTCTCTCGTCGAACCTCGGGTGGGTATTCGCGATCAAAGATCTGTTTACCCCGCGTTCCGATTCAAGTCCCGCGAACAAGGTAAAGGCTGACGGGAATAGGGACATCCGTTTCAGCTTATGTGCATCGTTGCCTCTAATTACCTGGAATGAAGACATCAGCGGAGTCCCGGCGCGATTCCTCGCCCGAGAGGGATTCCGTCCCGCGAACTGTCCGTAGAACGAATCGTTTCGTTGCTTGATATTTCATCGATTATTTATTATCGTTACTCGCCGCGGTCATCACTCTTCGGCTTATTGCATATAGGCGTGCTCGTTACTCGTAACGATTCGGCGCGTCCACCTCGAAGGCTCGTAGGTATATTAGGCGACTCGGCATTATTATATGCCCCGGCCATCGCGAAACACCGGTAGTAATTGGATTCGGACGTTGAAGTATTTTGGAGCCGGTGATTAATTTCCTGGATGTTAGCGAGTTAATTGTGTTTGAACTGTTGCGGATGCGCAGGCTTGATGAGTAATAACGCGACCGCGAATTGGAGTACCTCGTTACGGGGGAAAGTTTGGTTCGAGTCAACTTTGATTTATCGTTTCGGCATGATTGAATGCCTCCTTCCCTCCGTTCGCTTTTTAACAGCCGTCGGTTTTAAGGAAAAGTCAAGCTTCGCTCGAAATTACTTAAGTTATCAGTGTAAGTCGGAATAATGGAAAATTCGAGGTAGCAGGGGTCTCAGTTTTAATATCAGAGGAAACGTATCGAACAATGAAAAATACTGAGAATCTTCTCGACGTACAGTAGCTGTATAATATTGTTAAAAGAGGGAATCGTCGTAGACAGTACGAAAGAAGTCGGTAGCATTCGGTGCGTGTACGTCAATCACGATTAGGGGGATGAGTTTTCAGCGCGCGTCTCATTAGCCCACGCCCTCATTATTACGTTATCAACGTCCTCGGGCTGGTATAATGGGCTCTGAATATATTTATGAGGGTAATCCCCGCGGCGTACGAAAGCCCGAGCGCCGATGCGGCTCGCTCCGTAACAATAATCCTTATATCCTCCACATAATTGTGCTCGCGGACGATTTATAGAGCTGGTCCGGCCACCGATCCTATCTAACGATCTGCCCATTCAGCCGGACTGGCTAGAACTGCAACGGGGATGCACGGCCTTCGCCTCGGGAATGGGATTCATTCAAGACCGCGAGGGTACACCTCCGTTCATAAGTCTCACCACGCTTCCACTTATTTTCGAGAAAAATATTACGAATCAGTGATCGTGAAGGATCATTTCACGTTGTGGAAGATCGCACGATAAGTCAGTCATACGAGCAATCATAGTTTCGATGGAATAAATTATGTCAGAACTTGTGACGATGCGAATCTGATTCATAATTGATTAGGAAATCTGCGATTTTGCAGCAACTTTTGAATGGCAAATTAAGAGAAACTGAGTACAAATTATGAACTGGAATTTTAACCATGGTTACGAGTGAATAATTAAAAGACACCAAGATTTTTGTCGTCATTTATTATTCATTGAAGTTACACGTACTTTCATTCACACAACTACAATACCTGATTTGATTTTCACAGTACGTTTTAAAGCCAGAATATCATCCACGATAATTATGTGGACATTCTAAGACGTGGAGGATCTGTTTTTAGTCATTCATTGAAATAACGCATACTTTCATTCTGTTGTTCACTTCTTACAATATCAGATTCGATTATACGCATGGAGAGACTTATGAACGGGGGTGTACACCGTATCCGTACGGCCTCCCTTTCTTCCTCGGAAAGATGTTCTTTCCTTTCTCTTTCGAATCGTTCGGGTCATCGAGATTCGTTCGGCGCTCGTTCCGTTCCCGGCTTGATTGGTTTGTCGACCTTTCGCGAAACCCTGGCCGGAGCAATTTCGTGGTCCCGCGGCAATTTGGCTGTCCGCGGACTTATCTGATCCGCGACGATTAATCACGTGCCCGAGAACTTTTGCCGAGTTCACCGTTTTCGTTGCCTGTTTCCGAACGGACATTAAATTCCACGGATAATCACAAGAATTTAAGATATCCTTTATCAGGTCTTTCAAACATTTTCGAATAATCAGTCTGGATTATTTAAATATAAATTAAAACGTCTGCAAATGCAAATACAGCCTGTATCTAACAAATGCATCAGAGACAACAGAGAGTAAAATAAAACCATCGACGTAGATTTTCGATATTTTCACTGATCGCAAAAATTGATACAAGAAGTTGACATAAATCCGTCGGTCGATGCGAGAAAAGAGAAATTGAATCTCCGTACTGAAACGTATCGAGGGGCTCGCCACCGGGGTCCTTCGTCGGTCTCTTCCTCGGCAGCATCCTGGAAGCGGCGATTCGACACGGCCGCGCGGCGGTAGGGGTTAGCGCGTTGCCAGGATGTGGAAGCGCATGCACAATTTATAATGCAATTAGAGCCTCGGATGGTAGCGTTCGGATTTATGGCAGCCGGCGAATCCTACCGGAGAGAGGAACGGAAAAAGAGAGAACCGGCGAGGTCGACGCGAGGGGGTATATTCCCGCGGAATGAGTTATACGCCTCCCGCGGTTCCAATACATTATTTATCGCTCGGCTTTTCATTATTTCTGCGTCCCGGCCACGAAACTCGGTTTCCGCCGCGATCCCGATCGTAATTGGCCTTATCAGCGTTGTTGGATCGGAAGTGGTAGACCGTCGCCGCGCGACAACTCTTTCGCGAGCTAATTTACAGACGGCTCGGATGTATTACGCGCTAACGAGAAACCTGCTGACGCGCCTGAACGTCCGCGCGAGGTAATCCCGTTCGTGATCTCTGATCTCGCTGAAAAGTACAATAACCGATGATTCGGCTCTCGGTCGTACGCGAGATCGAATCGAATAACGAATCGGAACTGGCTCGAGGGCGTAAAACTATTTTACTCGCTAGTCCACGTTATTTATGACGCAACGCATTCTTCTCGTGGTCTCCAGCGTTAATCGCGCGTGTAGTTACACAGGAAATCGAACAGGATCCGGGGTTTAATTGGTCTTCGTAGATCCCGGCGTCGCTGTGCCAGGTTACAATATTACACGTGTAATATGCAGATTAATATCGCGCCGCGGTAATTAGTACTGGCGCTCTGGTATGAGCAAACGTGGAATCGATGTCGATACATACCCGCGAAAACCGGAAACCCTGGGCGGGGGTAGTAGCGGCGGTAGTGGACGAGTCCTTTTAAAACGTGTCCCACCGTAGAACCGCTCTCGGGCGTGTGTAATAACAAAAATGGCGGGGAGTCGTAAGTAACGACGGTGGCTTCTGCAACGAGTCCTCATTAGCATCGTAACGTCGACATAAGTTATTGCGTCTAATGATAGAGGCGCCCGCGAACGCGGCTCCGAGCGAGCCGAAAAAAAAGAATCGACGCTCGCTGGCTGATGGAGCAGAACCGGAAGAGCAGTCGCGAAAAAGAGATATGAGAACACCCCTTGAGGGCGAGGGGAATTAATATCGTAGAACTATGATCAACGCGCAGGAACATCGCCCATGTTCCGGGCAGAAAGTTATCATTTCATACGCAATTCAATTTACATACCACGTAGCTGATCGCGGCCAGCGCGATGTTTATACCAATAAGAATCGAGAAAGGCTACTAGCGAAATTATAGTGATTGTTACCGAGGGAAATGATACACGCGCTTTTCGGTCGATAGTGATTTAAAGGCAATGAATTAATTTGACTCGTTCTCAATTAAGACGTATATAAAAAACTGAATTGAACGAGGCAATTTCCAAGACGTCCGACTGCTGTTTTACCTGCGGTAATAATTATTATCGAAGAAGATCGTACAGTCTCGTTAACGGAGAATACAGTTTCGGGGACAATGTAGGATCGGCAGGTAGTTGATAATGCGAGGATTAGAAAGTCTCCCTCGTCAGGCCGCGGAGCACGAGCGCGGGCGTGAAGGAGGCAAAGCCGCGCACGAACCGTTAATCGCGGGCGTAATTACGATAATCGCTCATTGATTGCCTCGTGAACGTGCCTTCTGCACTTTCCTACCGCCTGGATGCACAAACCGCTGCATCCGTTGCACCATCCGAACGGTAGGAAAACTGAGCTAAAAATTTATTACTCCTTTCGAACAGTCGTTCTCGGTACACTTATCTATCGAGAGCGGCTGGCATACATTTTATCATCGTTTCGTACGTGGACATGGAAGCCAGCTGAGAGCTCAACGATTCATCACTCGCAACGTCTGTGTGAATCAGGAGATTAGAAGCTGATCTGAGTAATAGAGACGAACGTTCGTTCTATCAACATCGAATGATAATCGAGAAGATCGGAATTTCAATCTGACAATGAATAAAATTCGTGCGAGGTATAAAATATGATTTACACGAGTCACATTTAACATCCGGTTACACGATCCCTTCACTCGAGTAAAAAATACGGTTTGCGCGGAACCGACGCGTTCGCAGTTTACAAATCGCCGTGAAAGTACTCTGGGATCATCAACGAGGTCGTGTACGCTCGCTCGCGGTGTCTAGTTGATTAATGCCGCCACCCACGCGTCCACCGCGGTCCAGTTTCCAGAATCGCCGTCATCTCCGTACGCGACGAGCGCAATTAGCTCGAGCGAAAGCCGAGCGATCGACGCCAAAGCGTGACTCTCGTGAAACGCGACGTTGG